TTCATTGCCTGCTAGCTCTCAGCTGCTCTCTCTTCAAAGACTGCCTCTCAACTCTTTGAAGTCTTGCTCCAGTTGTCCCCCTCATAACATCTCAGGATGGACCACATAGAAAACACCGTATATTATTGTACTCCAGTTGTTTCCATGGGAACATGTTTGCGTAGACGTGACTCAGTAAGGGCTGTATATATTTGCTTATTAAAAATCTGTTGCCTAGCAGTGGATGTTGTTTCATTGTCATTACCCAATAACAGGTCCATCCAGTTGCTTAGTCACTGTACTGACTGAGTTATCCTGACTCACATTGTTGTAGAGGTATTGACTTATGCCTGTTTACAACAGCCAACATCTTCCACCCCACAACGTGAAGATGTTTATCCAAGTCGTGGAGTCAGCCCAAGGAGGCTTATCAAGCAGGCTGCTCTTGATTCACCTCCCCCTCATCTGCAAGGGGATGCTGATGAGCCCCACACAAGCTTCTACAGAGCTGTGCATTATGACAGGAAACCTACCCCAGCTGTGCAAGGTATGTATGTGATAATGAAATCTCATAAAAATTCTGGACTTAGATGTAAAATGTAGTATTCATCTTTATTCTCTATCTGTAGTTAAGTAAAGTAGCTGATTGTTTCCATAAACACAGTTAACTGAATGACCCTTTTAGTGGAACTATGGCCTATTCTCCACATGTGAGATGATAAAAATGTATATAGTGCATAACTTAGTATTGCAACTGTTATACATGGGGTTTGATTTAATTTAAAGCTTAAATTGTGTTTCAGTTGTAATAATAATAATCATCACATATATGACTATTTGATGATGAATGTAATTCATTGCATTATCAGTTCTTATGTATTACTTGCAGGAAAGGCAGAAGATCATGCTCGCACTCAGAGACATAGACCAAGGAAAGCTGGATTATTCTCAACAGGACCACAGTCACTTGCAGATTATCCACGCCGCCCTGGATCATGGCAAGTACTCTGCTGTTTTTTCATACACCATCCTCAAGTTAAAGAATGGTATCTTTCGGAATGTGATGCTGTTTACATACATTTCAGAGGAATGTACTGCCTTGCCTTTAAGTTTTGAAGAGTAAACCAAGCAAGCAGCAAGTGAGTAACAGTGAAAAACTTTTACCAGACTACATGACATTTCACCCCAATCGATAGTACGTTTTCGTGGTCACTGCTGTGAGAACTTCAAATCTCACATCCTTGGTTTGTTGTATACCAGTGTCCATGATAAATTTGAAGTTTTTTATTCTAAATTATCATTATTACTGTTGGCGTTCTGTTTTGCTCCCAATTTTGATAAAACTATGTAATTTTTT